GATTTTTGGGGCGCTGTTCTCTTAGCGGGGGTGATATTTTTCCGATTAATCCCGGACGATCCTATAACAAAATACATACAATTTTTATAACATTTAACACAATTCTTAGACCTCAAAAAACCCAAAAAAGCAAAAATATTGCGCAATTTTATGCTACGTATGAAAATGCCCCAAAAAGGTCAAAACTCCATCATTTTTGATGAACAGGTAAACGACGAAATAAGATTAGTGCCCCCCCCCCCGCTAAACGACAAGAACCAACTAGACTATTGCGGTATTCAGTGGAACACCTTTTTCTGCAGCAGGGCTTTGAGTGGCCCGTTTTTAGCCAGAAAAATTGAAAAATTGGAATGTCAGATAAGCAATTTCAATCTGGATGAAACATCGATTTTAGAGACTGCACCGAGCTGCTCGATTTTTCGGGGCTACGCCGTTAGCGGGGGAGGGTAACATTTTTTCAGATTACGCGCGTACGGCCTACTGACCAAATATAAACCATTTTATAGGAGTTCAAAAGCACATATAAAATTCGAAAATTCCCAAAGTTTCGGGCTTTTTGGTCAAAAATGTATCAAAACAGGTATAGGAGAAAACACAGATTAGTGCTTCCCCGCTAAACGACAAGGACCAACTTTGCGGAACACCTTTTTCTGCAGCAGCACTTTGACCGGCTCGTTTCTGGCCTAAACAATTGCAAAAAACGAGGGGTTGATAGAAAACGGCAATTATTACCAATTGATCCGGCCCGGCTAGGCCCTTGGGTGCAACACATTTTTCTAAAAGTGAACTCGAGGTGCGATTTTCCGGGTATGCGCTGTTAGCGGGGGGAGGACATTTTTCCCCATTAATCCACTAAGACCCTATAGCAAAATATAAACTATTTCTATAGGATTTAGATTTACATTTACAAGAAGCGGTTTTTAGGCGAACATTGATTTGCTATGTGACAAAGCTCATTCGATAGAGATTCAAATTCTGAGCAAGTTTTCTTCTTTTTTTTCTTCCAAAACTGCTGAACGACAACGGTCATCTGAGAACAGATTCCCAAAGTGTTAACTCGGCTGTTTTCCAAAAATGCTCAAAATCGGCCCTTTCGGATCGAATTTTCTCGAAAACCGCCGTCGTGCAGCACTTTTTGAAAGACGGGCCTTGTTCAGAATTTGACGCTCTATTGAATCGGCTATGTCACATTGCAAATCTCCAAGATCACCTAAAAACCGTTCGTTGTTAGCCCAACGTCGGAACGCTTCAACCAGAAAAATGTTTCAAAATTGATCGCAATTTGGGCGAGAAATAATTCAGCAATCCGTGCTCCTCAGATTGTCCAACACCTCCCCTCTGCTTGTGCACGTTTTAAGGGGACGTACAATGTATTCCCATGGATTTTTTGGCGGTCCATCACGCGTCGGGCTACATTGCGTAATCGTTTTTACGGTTACGTAATTACAACCATCCTTCAGGACGGTCAAAATGTCTTCAGTGTTGCGTGCGTGTCGCGGCGCGGAATAAACTTGAAAACTTATATTTTGTTTTCAAGTTAAATTTATGCCCCCATATCATCAAACTAACAGTATTCTCTCTAATTTGAGGCTTGCTTTCTAAAATAAAACCAACGTTTGTTTTTGACGGTGTAAAGCTCTCGTGATTTCCGAAAGAAATGTTTCAAAAGTATTCAGAAGGCAGGTGGCAAAAAATTCGTAATGCGCAGTGTGGTATCCGATGGATGAAAAGCCAGTTTCTGGGTGTTGTCTGATTTTTAATGGGACGCACACGGCATGATGATAAAACAACGCTACACCAACGCGTTCAAAAATTAACAAGAAACTAAGAAAAGGTTAAAGGGTGTTGAAGCAGTATTACCAGGCCGACTCCGCTCCGCCCCGAATTTCCATGTTAAGATAAAATGTTTCATAAAAGTTATTGCTTGGAACAATCTCCAGCTGGTCAGTCGGCGTGTCTCAGGATTTAAAAATTAAAAAAAATTTTGGGTTGGTTAAAATATTTAAATACTATTAGAATTAAACTTTCCAGTGTGTTTTGGCATAATTTATATTTTAGCAAGGGCTTTCACCTGCCATTTTTTACTAAGAAAAGCATAACACTAATCTCATTCAGAAAAACAACTAATATATGTGAAAAAAATTTTAGGAAAAGAACTTTTGTAGACGGCGTGAATTACCTTTCATCACGCCCCGAAATGCGCTCAAGCTTCCACGGATTCCAGACATAGCGTTAAACATTCAAATTCACAATTTTCACGTTTAAACGGCGCCATAAGCACATGCGGCGCGGTCGCGTTGCGGCAGCATCTGACTATTTGCCAGGAATCAACGCAAAATATTTGGACCCGACTTCCTAGCCCCTTTAAACCAAAATTCCCCCCGGGGCTACCGTACCCCGTCATTGCAGTGTCACGCGTACACGAGTTCCGGTGGGCCCCGAAATGACGGCCGAAAGTCTGTGCCGTATCCGGAAACGTCGCTTATCAATTTCAACCCGCCAACCGTTCCGTATTCGGCCTATTTGCACCCCGAAATTTTTGAGGGGATTAACCGGGCAAAGGACACGGCAAAACTGTGGCCGGGCAGAAAATAGGGCGGAAGGGGTGATGCTGATGTACGATGCCGGAAAGGGGTGATGTCATAAATGCGTAATCAAGGTATATAGGGTCCTATTAAGCACGGTATCGTCCTAATAAAGCCATTTTTTGCTTCTATATCCAATCAAAAAATAAATAATAAATAAAGAAAATTCCGTTAAAAATCATATTTTTTTATGATTGATTGTTTTTATCTATACTGCTATTATTTATAGATCATACTATTTTGCATTTATCCTGTAATTTTCAGAAGTATTGGACGTAAAACGACCTAGTTATGACCAAATTGGTTGCATAAAAACCGTCTTTTTCCCATAGCTCGGCTCGTTTTCAATATTTGGTCATTAAATAGTGGCTATACATAGATAATACTATTTGAAATATATGCTGTAAATTTCGTAAAGATTGAACATAAAACAACCAAGTTATGGAGGTTTCTTTCGAGCCCCGCGCGCGTTCTTTGCCTGTTCCCCGACCCGTCCCCACTCGCCCCCCACCTAGCCCTCTGCCCCTCCATATCAGCCCTCCCCTCCAACACAACTTTGAAATCATACTTCATAGGATCATTTCTATAGTATGCATTTCACTATACCCACTAAATTGCGACACCTCGCACCCACCGATGATTGGGTCTGAGGCGAGTGGAGAGCGGGAAGAACGGTTTACCCCCTTTCAGGGTGGTACTCCGCTGAGGACCGCGTCCATTTCCGGAAACGGATACGGACAACCACTTGCCTCCCTGAGGGGGAAAGAGGCGAGCGAAAACTAATTTTGGACTTGGCTGAAGGGCCAATAATAAAAATGGAAGGGTCCTGTTGTATCTTTTCAGTCGAAGGAAGCATTTGAAGATCGTTCGTGTACGTTGGTCGACGGTATTTGCTATTACAGGGTTGAAAAGTGGCTGCATCCTACAAAATATACCATTCACAGAAATTTTTGGCGCATCTTTTGGTTACGTTCAGCTTACAGCGGCTTTCCAGCATCAAGAAAACCCGGAAGACCATGTTGACTACGCGATGTTCTGATGTTCCGGCGATTTGCGGGCTTTACGATGGATTACAAAAGTGAACAGCGTCTCAAATAAGTTATTCTCACTTTTTAGCCAGTTTCGTCAAGTGAGAGCCGGGAGGGTTTTTCGTGGTCCTCAACTTCAACAATCATTTGAATTCTAAAAATGAGCTTTCTAAATTTACAAAACGATGTGGTCCGACTAATTCGACTATGCTCTTCCAGATGGCGTCGAATGACTCGCAAGCGGCCTTTTAAGCCACCGATGGGCTTTTTGTAGTGTTTATCCCGATTCAGTAATTCCGAAAATCTTTTCGGGACGTTTGGCTTTTATTGAAACAGTTGTTTTAGCGGAGCTGTCGACAATCAGTTCTCTAGCCTCGCGAGTTAAAAAAAGTATGTTTCCAAAGACATGACTAATGGACGGAAACCTTGCCTGTGTTTAATGATCGCATCTTTTCGATTTCTCGCATCTTGCCGTTAAAATCCGGTAAGGCCATTCGGCTAGCAAAATTTGATCGTATTAATCTCCAATTCTAGGGAAAAAGGACACCAGGTTGGGATTTTTGTGTGAAAATCTGGCCAATTCGGATGCTCGTCGTCGTTTAGGCGGACGTGTTGTAGCCATACTCCTCTCTAAAGATCTTCTGAAAATAATAAAAATGATGCATTACCTAAAGAACCGAACCTTCACTTTAACGATTCGAATGTTTGCAATGAAATTAAATGAATTTCATTAAATCCTCAATCTAAAGTTCCGAAAAATGTATAAAGAACAAAATAGCCTTTCTGGCATGGACAATCCTTTTTCATCAGTTTTGCAAATTCATATGCCATCTGAACGCCATTGTGTGCGGTAAATTTTACGGAAACTTATCAATTTATGAAACATTATTAGTTCACGGGCCGCTATTTTAATTTTAACCGCATGTTCCAAGCTTTTCAAGGGTGTTTTTTACAAAAAAAAAAACAATTAATTTCGCTCGAGTGCAGCTCAAAAATGTCTAAACATCCAAATCCATTTATTTTTTTTTTGACATTATCCCCTGCGTTCACTGTTCGGTGTTTTTTTTTAATTTTCTCAGGTTTCGGTGTGATAATCAATTAGGGAAATTCGACTAGCAAATTTTTATCGCATTAATCTCCAATTTCGGTGGAAAAAGGTAAATTGAATGGGACAGGGTAATCTTTGGGTGCACAAAAAATTAGGAGGAAAGTGTCAAAGTTCATTCAAGGTTTACATTAATTACAGTTTATTACAAAGTATCGGGTCGCAAAGTAATATTATGTACATTTAAACCAATCATAAATGACAAAAACTGAGATGATTACACCATGGAAGTCGATTTTTGCGGAGGAAAATCTGGCCAATTTGGAAGCTCGTCGATGTTTAGGCGCACGTGTTGTAGCCGTACTCCTCTCTAACGGTCTTCTGAAAACAATAAAATTAGTAAATTTTGTATTTTCAATTATTTTACTTTGTATTGTAAATGATTTTATTAAAACCTTTCCCAAAAGACTTTTTTAACTCAATCTGCTGAAATAAATTTAGCTCTTTAAAAACCTTCAGAAATGCTAGGATTTTGTGTACTTTCACCATACTTTTACCATACGAAATTTTGCGGAAACCATAAAATTTTTGAAACGTTAAAATTTCTCGCTCTCGAATTTGGCTTGAATAGTATGTTCCACATTTTTTGATGGTATCCGTTGCAAAAAAAAATTACAATTTTAAGTGGCTTCCGCTTTTTCTAAAAAATCCAAATGCATCGATTTTTTGAAAGCTATCGCTTGTAAATTATAAAAAAATAGAAATTCGACAGATACCCCTACTTACGACATTTTTATGTAAAATTTTATGTTTCTTCAAAACTACTGAATCCATAAAATCAAACATTTACAATAGGCTCTCTCCATACGTCTGAAAATTATAAAATCGAATACCCATAAACTGCTCTAAATTAAATAAAGGCTCACACCCTCAGTCTGCTCGTCCTTTGGCGCATCCGTCAAATGGTGCACGGCGTCGCTCAGCATTTCTTTCACGCCCTCCACTCCACTCACTGAAAATAAGCATTTTAATAGAATTATCGAATTCCAAATAATGTCTTTAAAACCGTGGAGTCCTTAATAAATTTCCCGGGCGTTTTCAGTCAAAAATGATGTTTCTAATCGTTGCCAAAACGAATTTCCACTTTTTCAATTAATTTCCAAATTGCCAGGTCGAAATGAATAAAATGCAATAAATTGCCTTGTAAATTGGCTTAATAGCAGATCCCAGGAATTAATATCGAAATTAGAAATTATTTTTAATAGATAAAAATGTTTTAATCCAGGTTAGACCCGACTCAACAATGCAGTTTCTAATTTTTCGATCTCCTTATGAAATTCAAATCCTCGAATGGTGCTGATTTTAAGGAATGCGTTACTTGGTGTAATCGAGAGAGAGAGAGAGAGAGAGAGAGAGAGAGAGCGAGAGGATGAGAGCGAGTGAGAGATCACGCGAGAGAGAGGGGAGAAATACAGAGGGGAGGCAGTGAGCGCGGGAGACAGAGAGAGTGAGAGAGAGAGAGAGAGAGAAGGAGAGAGAGAGAGAGAGAGAGAGAGAGAGAGAGAGGGAGGGAGGGAGGGAGGGAGGGAGGGAGCGAAAGAGTACGACTCACCAATCGTGGATCCAATAACCTCAGCGACGTGTTTCACTTCTCCAACGACAGTCTTCACCTCTGACACTATTATAATGATTACATTAATTTATACAAATGACACTCACTCTCTTTCTTCTCCTTATCAGCCTCATCCGGAGGGGACAGCTCGGGCTCGTCCTTCGAGCTTTTCCTCTCTTTCGACTCCTTCTTGTGCTCTTTCTCCGGCTCGTCAACCTCCATTCGCTCGTCGTCAACTAGAAAAGGAGCATGAAAATTTATACGTTGATTTAATGCTAAGTATCGAAGTTTTATGTGATCCAATTGAGTAAAAACTAAAACTAAAACTTTTCGAAAAATTGTGTTTCATAAAATTCCGTAAGTAGAACTGCGGGATTTTTAGTAGTGGGGGACCGGGCCGTTGGGTTATTTATTTTGATTCTTAGGCTAGTGAAAAATTCGGTTTTTCCTTTTTTTTTGTATCTAAATCGCCGTCTTCATTTTTCTTTCTGATTAGGGCATTCAATGCTCTTTTCAAAGCCTTCCTTTTTAATTTTGATTAAATTAATAATTTTCGTTCCTTATTTTTATAACTCAATTTATCTTTTTAATCTAATTAACTATCATTTAATTTATTTTACGTTTTGATTTTACACTGCCAAAAATCAGTTACGTAACCGAAATCCAATTTTGAATCGAAATTTTGTTAGAAATTTCTGTGTTTCAGGGACACGGGTCATCAAAAATGACCGTATCTTTTCATTATTCCGTACTCTAGCCTTCCACAAATTTAAAGATACCTTGACCAGAAATTTAGTTTAAATATATTTTTTAATTTTAGCCAATTTTAATTCAGCTTTTTACATACCTTGCTTCTTGTCCAATTTGTGTCTCAACCCCTCACCAGCTCGGATGCCAGTTTTCGGGGCGAGCTCGTCGCGATCCTGGTGGGCCTTGTCTTCAATGTTGCGCTGGGGCTTTCCGTCTGAATATTTTGCGTTTTAAAGGGACTGAGAAGGGAGAAAATCGATCCCCTCGAGCAGCTAGGTCTCGACTACTACGCGATGCTCCTAAACGCAAAAAACTAACCAATGCCGTGCTCGATGAACGTGTCGAGGGGCATGCCGTGACGCGGCAGCTGCGCATCTGAATTTCAGGATAAAAATATTTCTTTTTATATCCAATTCTTAATTTTTATATGATAACTATTTAAACCTATAAATTATTAAAAATTTGGTATAAAATACAAAAAATATAGATTTTCCAGATGCAATATTCGAATTTTTAATTTTTCAACTTTTTAAAATACATTCAATTTTGCTATTCACCGTCAAATTTTAGCAGAAATACTATTAAAATACTTTTTATCAAGTTATTAGACATATCACGAATTATAGAAAATTCTGCATCCCCCCCCTGATAATGCCAAAGCACCAAAATTTAAATTATTGGAGTTTACAAATTAATGTTTCATACAACCTAAGTGTTCAGAATTTGTTCATAAATCTAATGCGTGTTGGAGATTGCCATGCAGCTTTACCTGAAGATTTAATTCTACGACGAAATTGAAGTAGTTTCAAGCATAAATTTAGTTATGTTAAAATAAGGAATGTCATTGCAAAGTGATTTAATAATAATTTAATAATAAAAAATAGTGATTTAATAAAACAAAATATGCAAACCAATTATTTAAAAAAATTAGATTTAATTAAGGTTAAAGGGCTAGTTCAACTTTTAGAGCTTGGGCTGGTACCTTGGGAAACTATGGACGTAGGCACAGTGCGCCCGAACAGTCCCCCATTACGGCAGCTATTAGAGATCGGGGAAATGAGAGAAGCGCAGACAAAAAAAAACCCAGAGAGGGCTCGACCCCCGGCCGCGGAAATTCTTTTGTTTTATTGGCTGAACTAGCCCTTTAATTAGACTGGATCAACCATCCAAATTCAAAGCGAAGTAAACCTACTGAGAGACGACTCCAACTGCTCGTGCTCCTGGGGCGTCGAGCCGAACATCGGCTTCTCCTGGGCCATCTCCTGGTCGCGGTCTAAACATTTTTTTATTGTTTTAAATTTTAAATTTTGTAATTATGGGAATTTTTACGCCAATTCTTAATCAAAATTTAATTAATCAAACGCACTCTGTGTGAGGGAATCGGTGCCGAGCGGCGGGAACTCCTCCTCGCTGCGGATCGTCGCCTTGTTCATCACCGACTTTTCGGTGGATTCTGAAAATAGGGGAATACAGCGGAAGGTTCTATTAGAATCTATATCATAATTTAACTATAATCCAGGTGGTAAAATTATCTAAAAAAACTTTTTTAAAATTAAAAATTCTAAATTATGGTCGAAAATCATTTATTTTTGCCAAAAAATGATTTTTTGCCGTTATTTTCAGAACTTTGTAAACCCTCGTATCATCCTACTATATATAAAAAAATAGTGTCTGTGTGTGTGCATTTGCATGCAACTTCCGTGAGGTTGTCTCTCACTTACAGCCTCAGGGGAAGGTTTTTAGGGTACGTATGATACGCCATTAGGTGCGTAATGGTGCCGAGATATGAAAAGTATATAAATATGAAAAGCCGCGGAGCGGTTTTTCAACCCTGGTTTATATCCTAATTTGGAAAAATTTAACTAAATTTCAAATGGAAAATCTATCTAAAGAGGTTTTTAAAAATTTAAATATGACATTTTGGTCGAAAATCGGCTTTTTTAGCAAAAAAAATCGGTTGAGTTCCGGGATGGTAAAAAATCATAAAACCCTTACTTGTTTTTTATGAAAAAATCGGATATAAAAAATTGGTTCCCCCCGCTAATACCAAAGAACCGAAATTACAGCAGCTAATTTTTACAAAAATACCTTAACCGTTTTAAGACTTACCGTGACGAATTTCCGGCTGGATATCGGGGGTCTGGGTGGGGCCTTGGGCGAGGAAAAGCTCCGAGTCCATTGGGGCTTGTTGGAGTTGTTGTTGTTGTCCGGTCTGGGCCTGGTCGACTTGTTGCACTTGGCCTACCGCGGCGTCTAGAAAGTCCATGATAATATTTTTCACCTACATATCCGCACGGAATTCGTGCAGTTTGGATGCCAGTGAGGGAATGTGTTTTTGGAACATTTTTTTCAAAAATTCTAGTGTCAAAAATCACGCTTTTTCTAATACCCTGAGTTTTTTATTAAATCTGATCATCATCCTATTGTTACCAAATAAAACCCTATTTGTTTAGTTATTAGAAGCCTAAAAATACTAGTATATTAATTATACTAGTATAATAATCCTAACCGCTATTAAAAACAATAAACCAGCGCTTTAACAAGCTCAAAATTAGTCGCGTTAAATTCTATTAAATTCAAATTAAATTCTAGAAGCTGAAAAGCGATAAATTAGCCATTTTGATGTTAAAATTAAGGAAAAAAATTATAAATAGTAATAAAACTTTTTTAAATCCGCGGCTAAATTTATGATAAAACTTTAATCGACGTGGTGACTAATTACATAGCGCAACTAAACCTTAACTAAAATACCTAAAACCTAAATAAACCTAAAACCCGCACAAAAACCTGTTAATAATAGCCGGACATGAAGGCAGCGTTAGTCAACCAAAAGCAGGGGATGTGATTCCGGAGAAAAATCGGTACTGGACTGTTATCGGGGGGGGGGGGGCAGGTTTCCCAGTCTTTTTAGCTTTTTTTAGAATCATAAAAAAAACTAGAAAGTATCGGAATCTTCGGTGAAAATATATGAAAAATGGCCAAAAAGGGTAAAAATTTTCCATTTTCAAACTAAAAAACTATTTTGATAACTTTTTAGAAGTAAAACACTACTAAACACACTATAAAAAATTTATGAGCGGAAAAACCAAAATCTGACCCCCCGCTAACAGTCCAGTACTGAGAAAGCTTGCAATTTGGTAAATTCAGCTAGAGGCAAAACTCTAGCTAAATCCACCAAAAAATTCAACGATTGGCTTGCCATTTTGGCCGAAAGCCTCGGCTAAAGTGGGCGTCTGAATGCCGGAATGTGTTGGGAAATCCTTCGATCCCTGCAGAATGTCCGCCTCCACGAATTTGTGGTCTTTGCCGTCTGAACGTTGTTTTGCGTAAATTTTCCTATAGCTTTAACGTTTTTAAATAATACCTTTACCTTCCCAATGATTAGAGTATTATACTCCTTTTATTAAACGGAAAAATCCTGAAACGCCAAAACCCATAATGAAGCTATTTTGTTAATATTATTATAGCGATATGACGCTTGGGAATTTTAAATTAAGGTTGTAGACCTATTAAAACGTTTTGAAAAGAAGGAGGAAGTTATATCTGACTTTACAACATTTAAAAAAAAAGTGATAATTTGAAAACCAACCATGGAAAATCTCCTCGATCTCGTTCTCCCACTTGCCCACCTCCGAATCGGGAGCCCACTGGTTTTGCGGGCGGCACTGGTGGGGGGCTAAATCAAGAATTTTGTAAAAAACGATAACGATACTATAACAAAACAATACAAACTATAAAACCATAAAATTCACAAACCTGCTTCGGTCGACTTGACGGGCACGCGGCCGAATCCGGTGGATTGCTGCTGAATCTCCATTTTGTTTGCTTGGGGGTTGGTTGTTTTGCTGAAAATAAAAATGTTCTAAACGCTGGCCGGTTGGAGACAAAGAAAAAGATATTGATACCGTATCAGGCGTTTGTGGACCGAATTAATTTCAAAGCTAACGTTTTTAAATTTAAAAACGTACTGAGAAAAGCAATTTTTCTTTCGGATCCAATTTGTTCTCATATAAAAAGAGGAACAGTTTCTAATTTGTTTTTACTTAAAAAACTTTACAAATTTGTATTGAAAAACAGGAAACATCTATTTTTCTTCTAAAATGGACGTTTTCGCCCAAAATTTCAACGTTTTCCAAGTTTTTAGATAGTTTTTCACTTGAAAAACAGTTAAATTGTACTAAAAACACGGAGAAAATACTTATTATTGCGTTACAAGGTACTTCTCGTGTTCTACGAAAGCTCGGAAGCACCTATAATGTAGTAAACGAAGAGCAATACAGACAAAATCAAGAAAAATAACTTTTTTAACTTTAGAAAAGCTATGTTATAGATTTAAACGTATAGATAGACGGCGGTGTAAGCCTAATTTTGCCCGATCATGCAAAGGAAAGTAAAAAATGTCTTAAAAGCCAAGCCTAGTCGAATTCTGAGCAAAGTCTAGGCAGCCCCGGGCATTTGGAGAGCTTTATAGCCTTTGAGAAAACATGAGGGCAAAATAATACGGTGGTGGGGTAGGGAGGAGCCAGCCAAAAAGGGGGGCGGACCCGTGCACTTTGCCGAGCTGTTGTTGTGTTCTGGGTCCCCACCGGGATGCACTTTTGCATTGAAAAAACAAGAGGACACACGCGCCCTCAGACACTGCAAACAACCATTGCGAAATGGTACTGGCACACTAGCTGGATGCCCCTTGATAGAGTGAGGAAAATACTATGAGGGGGTTCGGGGATCGAAAAGTGGGATTGGTACTGGACGGTTAACAGGGGGGGTCCTACTTTCCCCAGTAATCCTCCCACGGTCCTATAACAGAAATCTATAAACTGTTTAGTAGTTGACAAAAAATGGCTTAAACATTTTGAAAATACGGAAATTTTTACCTTTTTTGGTAATTTTTCATTCATGCTTGACCAAAAAGTAAAAAATTTTCTGAATTTTTATAATTGTAGAATCTATAAGACCTTTCTGTAGCAGTTTACAGTTTTTAGCTACAAAAAGTTCATAAAAAAAACTTATAAAATCCTCGAAAATGTTTGATTTTGGTCAAAAATCTATGAAAAATGGCCAAAAATCCTCTTTCTGAATTTTCAAAATGCTGAAATTATCTTTTGTAAACTACCAAAAACATAGTAAAAACAAATATGCTAAAAAGCCCTGCTAAAAATCTAAATTGACAAACCGCTAGAAGAAAAATATAGATTTTGGAAACCTGGAATCACCAAATAAGCTTTGAAATGGTCTGGAAAAGTTAGCTTTCGACGTTTTCGCTATTTTTCCGATATTTTGAAGACGCCATTCGATAGAGCATGATAAATTATACCTAGACTTTAAATTTCCGCCCAAAATAACGTAGAATAAAATTGTTACGGTAAGGAAAGACAAGCAAAAACCTACAAACTTGCTAAATTTTAATCTGGAGGAGGAGGGCTGGGGCCTATCGGTAACCTTCAAAACCTTTTCGGGCCCTGCTGAAGGCCTAAAAACCAATAACTATTTATTTTCGACGTTAAAATGTCTTTTTACAATTGTCTCGCTTGTAAACCACCTTGCCAATCAAAAAATCAAAATAATAAACTTTGCTGACGCCAATCCGAGCCCTAAAAAATGCGAAAGTCGCTACGGTAATTTTTCCTATCGCGGGTCAACAAAAAAGCCGGCATTTTCCCCACTTTTTCAGTTAGTAAAACGACGTTATTTTGCCGATTCAGATGATCGAGACGCTGCTGAGCCAGCTTCAAGCTGGTGCTCCGAGCCGGAAAGATTGGCTGTCGGCCTGCTGCCATCCTGATGCGGTGCTGATCCGATGCATGGCCAGGTAAACAAGCTTTTTCCGTGCTTCTTCTCACCAAATTTCCGTTTCGATACGCGCGGGGGGGATTTATCTTGTGGCAAAACTACCGTAACCCCTTGGTTTTGCTGACCTCGCGAAACGTTGGCTCGTTTTATTTTTCTGCAGCTTTTTCGGTCCGTTGTCCGCTCGGATATTTTAGGTTTGTGCGTCATTTTGCTTCTTTTATTGCCCTTTGATTCGCTTTTTTACCTACTTACCGATTAACTGAAACCTTTTTGAAGCTATGAAAAGCGCGAAAAAGAGATAATTCTATGCTTATGCGCCGGAAATCTTAACGCTTGTTTTCGCTTTTTCGCTTTCGTTCTTCGCCACATGGATTAATACATCTCACATACTTTTCCTAGTTTTCTAGATTCTATCCAGGTTATAGAGGGCCAATTCGACCCCATTTAGCTGCGTTTCAAACCGAAACTTTTCATCGACTTGTCCTTAGGCTTCACCCACGATTTGCAAGCCACTCGGGTAGCCTCAAACCTAACACAAGCCTCGATTTGATCCTGAAGATTACATACTTCTCCATTCGCCATCAGTGCTATCGCTAAGCCTTCATTTTACCAAGGTTTTGTGGGGGTTCGAGGGCTCCAAGAGGCGCCTATGCATGCCCGAAACGGCGACAGGGGGCTCTGTTCAAAAACTCGAGCGAGTATCTCGCGCATGCCCCCATTCACCATGAAATCGACCTTCTATCGATCGTGATTCAATTCTTTTTCTTCTTTGAAGATTGCTTTACTCAATTTGATGCTTTAGGATGTCCCTCAGCAAGAGAACCGAGAAGCCGGTGCTGAAAGAGGTGCCGGAAACCGTGGTGAATGGGAAGCACGTCTACAAGAAGGGCCGATTTTTGGGGAAGGGCGGCTTTGCCAGGTATTTTTTCTTTCGCTGGTTTTTAAATTTCGTTTCCTAGATGTTATGAGCTGATGGACACGAAGACGAAGACGATCCTGGCCGGCAAGATCGTCTCCAAGACACTTCTCGTCAAGCAATACCAGAAGGACAAGGTAGGTGCACGGGAGGGTTTTTGACCCTCTGACGTAAGTGTGTGCCGGGGCGCGCTTTAGCAGTGAGGGGGTTCCGGACGCGCCACATTACGCATGGACGTAAGGTGTATAGAACGGAATACGTTCTTCTGAACTTATTTTTTACAAAGTGGATATATAAAGTAAAAGAAGTATGCAGAAGGCTTTTTAATAAATAAAAGAACCTATTTATGGTGAATCTGGAACAGTTAATTGTCAGTATCATGGCTTTTCGGAATTTTGGGAATATATACCAGTATTTTTGTTGATTGGTTCACTTCTGCCCGATATTAATTGTAGACAATCGTCTGGAATACTTTTCTAAATAAGAAGCTACCGATGTCTTTAATTACAAAAAGCCAGTCATTACAAAGAAGCAGGGACGCAGGAACTTTCGCAAAGTAGGCTGTGAATGGCCAATGAAAGCTAAGGAGATAACGCCAACGATGAATCATACAAAACCACAGACATGTAAAGAATTGCTAAAACTTTAACTCTTTCGAAGAAGTCTAAAAATCTTACATGGTAGCGGGTCCAGGAGTGGCTCGAGATTATGTTGTACTTTCGTCAAGCCACGCGAGCTTTTGCCGAGCTTTTGTATGCTTCATTTTAAGTTTAGAGATTTCAAATTCTTTTCCTTTCATACACTAATACTATGATGAACATTAACACCAAGCTAAAGTAAATGATTATCCTCAGTATAAACCTATGAGGTGACAATCATCAGTTTCCAACTCGCGAAAACACTGTCCTCTGGTTAGTAAAAAGCTTTCTACATGCTTCTTTTACTATTACATGTATATTCTCTTTGTTAGAAGTAGGAAGTTAAAGTAGAATAAATTAATCAAAAGTATTCCGTTCTATACAACTTACGGCCATGCGTAATGTGGCGCGCCCGGAACTCTGTCACTGCTAAAGCGCGCCCCGGCACACACTTACGTCAGAGGGTCAAAAACCCTCCCGTGGTAGGTGCCAGTTCTCAATTTGAAAATTTGAGTTTTAGATGGCCCAGGAAATCCACATTCATCGCAGCCTCGATCACCAGCATGTGGTTCGCCTGCACGGCTTCTTCGAGGATACCGACAATGTGTAAGTTTGATTCTTTAGTACCCCCCGCCCCCTGTTTTTGCTTAACTCTAGTACATGTGTCGTTTTAGGTATATACTACTCGAGCTGTGCCCCCGACGTTCGCTGATGGAGCTGCACAAGCGCCGTGGGCCGATCACCGACCCCGAGGCACGGTACCTATCGCTGCAAGTGGCCGAGGGAGTCGAATACATCCACAACTGCCACATCATCCACCGTGACTTGAAGCTTGGCAACGTGTTTCTCAACGAGGAAATGCAGGTGTGTTGTTTTTCTTTTTTTCATGACTCTTGTTCTTTTTTAGGTAAAAATCGGGGATTTTGGCCTTGCGACGACGATCGAAAAGGAGGGCGAAAGGAAGAAGACGCTATGTGGCACGCCCAACTACATTGCCCGTAAGCTTCGTATCTTCTACTCGAATTTCCCGTTTAGCCGAGGTGCTCGACAAGCGCGGGCATTCGTACGAGGTGGACGTGTGGGCGGTCGGCTGCATCGTCTACACAATGCTGGCCGGGCGCCCCCCGTTCGAGACGGCGTCGCTGAAGGAGACGTACCAGAAGATCAAGACGAACACCTACCGCATCCCGTCTACGATGAACCCGGATGCGGCGAAGCTCGTTCAGGCCTTGCTGCAGGGGGAGCCGTCGCGTCGCCCGAAAATCTCCGATGTTCGCCACGTAAGCGATTGTTTTTCTTTGATGTTGAAAATCTTGGTACGATTCGAGTGGGCACGGTTTTTTAGAGTGCTTTTCGACCTTTTTTCGTCTTTCGTGCTTTTTAGCTTATGCTTGGACTGAGCTGTAACGAAGTGATCCTAGAGCCATTGGCTTCATTTAGGCTTGAGAGTAGAGTAGGGCTAAATTAACTGCATAAAACTGAGTTTTTCGACGAAAAACTTGAATAACTATAATCCTTTTAGTTCGAGTTCTTCCACAACGGCTATCTGCCGAACCGCTTGCCCACCTCGTGCCTCACCATGGCGCCGAAGTTCGATCAACATGTAAGGGTTTTTTCTAAATAGATAATCCCAAATTTAGATGGACGAAATGCGTCGCGTGCGCCGTGCACCCTCGCCCAGCAAGGCTCTCTCGGCTCGCCAGATTGTCAACGAGGATATGATGAAGTCGCCTGGGCGGCCCCTTCACACCGGTAACCATCCCTTTTCTTTTGTACGCTGCTTTTTTAGTCCCAGAGAATGCGCAGCCGTCCAGCCAGCGAAGCGACGCCTCGTCCCCTCGTCAAACCATCGACCAAAGTGTGCGCAGCCTGTACAAGCAGATCACCGAGGTCGTCAAGGCTACAAACAACAGGTACATCGATCTCTTACATTTATATTTGGCTTTAGGGAGATGCTGGCCGCCGAAGACGAGACCGAGGCCCCCGAATGCCTGCCCGTTTTCTGGATCAGCAAATGGGTCGACTATTCGGACAAGTACGGCATCGGCTACCAACTTTGTGACAATTCGGTGCGTTTCATTTTTTGGGCGAAAGTGTAGGCCAATCCATCCGAAATGTCCCGTATTTTGACTTTTTTTTTTCAGGTTGGTGTGCTTTACAACGACTCGTCCAAGCTCGTCCTCGACGCCGCCGGCAACAACATGCAGTACGTGGAGAAGGACGACCGCGAAGAGTACTACATGATGAACCGCGAGATGCCGCGCGCCATGGAGAAGAAGCTGACGCTGCTCAAGTACTTCCGCTCGTACATGAACGAGCATCTGATCAAGGCCGGCGAGAAGTTTGCTCCCAAGGTATTTTTATTCTTGTTATTTCTTGGTTTTCTTTATGGTATGGTGGGTATTTATTCTTGCTTTTCAGGAAGGCGATGAGCTGGCCCGTCTGCCCTGCCTGCGCAACTGGTTCCGCACCCGGTCGGCCATCGTGCTCTACCTGTCCAACGGCACTTTGCAGCTCAACTTCTTCCAGGTTTGCTAAGCGTTTCGATCATTATTGTTCTTTTAGGACCACACGAAGCTGATTCTGTGCCCGCAGCTCGGCTCCGTCACGTACATCGATGCCCAGAAGAACTTCCGTACCTTCAAGCTCTCGCTTCTTCATGAGTGAGTTTTGGGTCTTGTTTGCAATTGTTTGTGCTTTAGGCTCGGGTGCTCTGCCGATCTGCGCAACCGGCTCAAGTATGCTGAAGGGATGGTGGAACGCCTGATCGCCAAGTCGGAGAAATCGGTAAGCAACTTTGTATTTAACAAATTTATGGTATTTTTTGCAGCTTGGCACAGCACTGCCCTCCCTGAGCAATCTTCACGTCGCCTCCCAGCCGCAACAAGTCTGAAGCTAGCCGCCCATCAGCTGCCACAAAGCCTTTGAGGGCCGTGATCTGTGATTGCGAGTACATCCCTGGATTAACCTCTAGTGCTCTTTCAGACCCGCGAATATGCCTTTGTCTTTTTGTATTACGTCGTACTGCCCCCGTTTCTCCTTCTCTCTCTTATGACTTCTCTCAAAGTTGATGCTCAACTCCTTTTAATTAAGCAGACGATTACTTGCTGTCGCCGGAAATTTTAATTCATACCCGCCGCCTTTGACCATTCCTTGACTGTCGAAATAAACACTTACAACCCCCCTTGGAAAAACAATAAATCGAAATGCATCTTTATTCATGCTCAAAGCTGCAAATATTCACCGTTGTATATATATCAGTTAACCATTCTTCGAGACACAGTACATAAATACAATTAACATTCAACGAGTTTAATTGGGACGTGGGTCGGCAGCGGCCGCCTCTTCCATGATTTCGCACAGATCTTTGAGGAACTTCGTTTTCAACGGCTTGTACTCGATCCTTCGCGTCTAAATTCCTGTTGTGGACGCATCAATCTAGAGCCCCACGATGATAAAGTCGAGCACGCTGCTGTAGGCGTAGAGATACTGTTGCGTATTCTGGACGGAAGATGCCCGGCAATCGCGCAGATCTTTGTAGAGATCGATCATCTGTATCGAAAAAGACACGATAAACATTCAGAAACGCAACGACCGACCACTGGCTCTTTGCCCTTGAGCAACTTCTGGATGGCCATCTCGATGAGGATGTACGTTCCAGTACGACCAATACCCGCCGAACAGTGGACCACGACCGGTCCCGTGCCTGCCTCCTAAATAATATTGAACAATACAATAATAATGATCACCCTGGTGAGACGGCGGATTTTCAGCGGGATACCGCCCTTCGTCGGCATTCCCTTGTCCGGCCATTCGGTGCAGAAGATGAGCTTTGTGACGATCGAATTCGAGCAGCCATCGGGCAACACTTCCAACGTGTACACAATGTCGTCGACTTTTTTGTTGTTGACGAACATCTTGCCATAGTTCTTGTACTCGCCAGCGTTTATCGGGAAATATTCCGCACACTTCGATTGGCCACCCTCCACAAAGTTGCACACGCAAACGATGGCCGCCACGTTCTCCTGAAGGTTGTAGATGCACTTTTAAGAATGACAATGCACCTGGAAGACCATACGCCAGAAATCCTCGATCGTATTGTCCTTCGGGCCCTGCGTGGCGATGTATTTTCTCTCCAGGTCTAGAAACAGGGGCTGATACACTGGTTCGTTCGCATTATCGGGGGGACGTTTTTTTCGTATAATCTAGAAATGCCTCTTAACGTGATGGGAAGTATTTTCATACTGTTTTTGGTAAAATAAAACTATATTTAAACTGGAAGCTATCCAAAAACTTTAAAATTTTCCAAAAAGTCGAAATTTTCGTCAAAAACGGCAGTTTCTGGTCGAAAAATCCATATTTTTTCAATGAAATGTGTAGTTTTTAAGTTTAGGGATAGTAAAAACCAGTTTAAAAATACGTACGCTATTTACATTTTCAAAATAAAAGAAATAGAAGCAACCTGCCCTCCCCGATAATGCGAAAGAACCCACAAACTTGATCCAAATAAGCTTACAATCGAAGGAGATCCAGTTGGCATGGATGTAATCACCGTCAGCAGAGGTGTAGTTGCCGAAATCGGTCTTCAGCTCGACGCGCGTCGCATCCAGGCAGTGCACATCCTAGAAAATGAATGGCATCAAAATGACAATTAATCGAAATACCCCATATCGATTCTTGGCCGTGTTCTTCTTGCAGACTTCGCAGTCGCCCTTCTTCTCCGGATACGTCTGCACCTTCTCGAAATCGCTGACAATCTGTTCGGCCGGGGTGCTCTTGATGTAGTTGCAGAACTTGTCGGCGGCGCTATCTTGTTCCGGCGTGAATTTCGGCTGCGCCCTGCCCGGCTTCACCGTGGCCGCCTCAAAAAAGAAAGGAAAATCGTTGTGCGTATCCAAATAAATACCTTTCTCTTCTTGTTGTCCTGCGCCGCGGAGGGGGTGCTACTTGCGGGTTTTGTGGCTCGCTGCGTGTTGTCCTCGACCGTCTCCTTGCTCGCACTGCGGGCTATGACCTCCTTGCTCGGTGCGTTGCGGACACGTTTTTCATTGTCTGGAATGTAAAATCTTATGAAGAAAATGACGTAAAATGGTCTAAAGTGTTTCCCCTCAGGGTGGTATCTCCCGCACAAAGCCAATCAAGATTGTGCCAAATTTTTCGCCAATTCCAAATTGGCTTTGGAAAACTGTGTAATTTCGATATTTGAAAGTTTACGATGTATTTTATGTCCTACACTACTAAAATTCCTGGTACTATTCAAGTTAGGGGGGCAAAATTTTTTTCGCATAATTCCAGTCCCTTTTCTTCGGTTTTTCTTTGGCTTAGGCTTCGCTTAGCTTTGTATCGGCATAGCTTAGGCTTCGGCTTAGCTTACCCTAGGCTTAGACCTAGCTTAGCTTCTGGGCGGGGTGAAGTACCATCGCCGTAGCTTGGCTTTGTCACGGCTTCACTGATTTGATTCGGCTTAGCTTTGTTGAAGCTCAATTTGACCGAGCTTCCTCTTAGCCTAGCTTAGGACTTGAGACTTGAGACAGCAATTATTTCAACAAAAATTAGGTATACCACAAGGTCAAAACTGTAGCCCTATGTTAGCAGATCTTACCCTTAGTTACTACGAATACAATTTTCTAAAAGATAACTACACTGAAAAGGTAATAGGTCACAGATATATGGATGATATACTTATTCTATACAAAACTGGGGTTAATATCGAAAACTTCCTAGCAAAAATTTACCCAAAAGAACTAACACTGGAGCAAACTAATCTAATATCCACATCTGGCAACTTCTTAGACCTAAAAATATATGTGGAAAACAGTAAAATACAATCAGAACTATACAACAAAGTAGACGACTATCATTTTAGTGTCACACGCATGCCTAACTACTTATCTAATATCTCATACACAATTAAACATGGCTGCGTGGAAGGCGAAATTATCAGAATAGCTAGAAAATGTTCGAATCTAGACCCGTTTATTAAACATTTACAGCAACTATTCACACATTTAGTTAAAAATGGCTATCCTAATTATATTCTACTAAATTTATTCACTAAAACTATGAAAAAACACCCGGGACTTCCTAAAATATGATTCCAACCTTAAACATATAATACATAAACTAAAACAAAACAATAAATAGCTAAATTGATAAATTTTCTACATTCACCATGGTATTTACTTTCTCTTTTCATTCTTTTCACAATTTTCTCCTTTCAAATCCTACTTCTTTATCTCATTCACCCGTCCACCCTATTACGCTAGGCTACATACCCCTCCTATCGACGCGGCCTCTTTACCCGCCCCACAATCACGGGAAGATAGATCTAATCAAAATAGGAAGAAGGTGAAAAGAGTAAAAAAGTAGTTAAAACTATAATAATCTAGACAAAATTAACTCTAAATTAACTAAAATTCTTTTCTCCATTCTTCTATATTACCTTTTCAATCTTACACTAGGAGCATCAGGGAATCCAACTGAGGAGACCCACCCTGATGTTACTTCAGCCTGTCTTGGTTTAGGGTCGAAACAGGCCATCCTTTTATATTCTCTTTCAGCTCTATATAGAGCACCCGCCATTCCCTTGTGGTTTGGTTCAAACCGCTTAGTCGGTTTACGCTCGCTTGCGAGTTCAGTCCCTTCGTGGGATTTCCGCGGGCTTCGGCTCGTTTAACTCCCCTGCTTGCAGTGGGAGTCTTTTAATTTTAATTATACAAATTTACACATTATTATACTTCTAATTTACTCAAAAATTCACACATAATTCATTAATAAACTTTTCTTATTACGCTGGATTAGCCGCAAAAAAAACTGGCCAGGTAGCTCAAAAATCGCCCCAAAAAATTTTGCCCCCCCCCCCAATTTGAATAGTAGCTTATTCCTTAATTACCTTCCAAATTCCTTAATTGAAACGGTTAATAACAAAAAAAATAGCCCACCATTTTACTAAAAGAAAAGGTACCGACTCGAAACGCGCGACTTCTCGCTGCGCCCTTTCCCGCTTTTCGAGCTCCGCGAGCTCTGTTCCGGCGTGGTGGTGGGAGTAATGATGGCTTCCCTCGAAGGCCTCTTCACCCTAATTTCAAAGATAGAAGGAAAGAAGCGTGAATATCAACCTTCTGGTGGTCCGCTTGGCCGAAATTGGCGTCGGCTTCGGGTCGGCCATCCTTGGGTAGGCTTCGAAGCGAATGGTTGTATTTCGTCATACGGCTGAAAATATACTTTTCAATGTATGGTGTCTTTGGATATCCGGTTTTATAAAACAGCTTGGAAATCCCGGATTCTAATTTCATGGGGAGGGCCGGGAATAGATATGACAATCAGCTGCTCTATTAGGAGAACCAAAAAAATGTACCACTTTTTATTCCTCTTTATTTATATTTCTTTTCTTATAAAATTAGTATGATTTTTATTTTCAAGGTTTTTTGTAAAATTTTTGATTCCCGGCGCCCGGGCTGCTTGCTAACCCGCGCCCCATCGACCGTAGCCAACCAAGAACTGGCGAGAAAAGCGCCCGGCCTTTTCCCGCAATCCTATTTTTCGTCAAAGTTTCGGCCCTTCTCCCCTAAAATTCACGAATTTACTTTTTGTTTTCTGCGCCTATGTTTTTATTATTGCGGTGCCTTTGATAATTTCGTTCTTTTCAGGCTTGGGAGATGATATTCGTCCGAACCGTTGAGGGGGCCACCCTCACGGTCTCGACCGAGGCCGATGACACCGTGGGAACGCTGAAGCTCCGCCTCGCCGAGTCCCAGGGCATCCCCGCCGAGGGGCAGCGGATCATTTCCAACGGTATTTTATGAATGTTGATTATGGGCAACTTGCTGTATCTTGAGAGCGACCCGGGCGGTTCGTTATGGTTTTCTCTTGCAAAAATTTGGTCAAAGAACGTGCTAACCATAGCGAATCATCCGTGTTTGCTTGAGGACGGGTCGGCAAGTGCATTTTGTTCTAATTGCTCTTGATTCCCTGTGCTATTTAGGCTGCCAGCTGGAGGATGATGAGGGCCTGAACGAGGAGTCGACGTATCACCTGTCGCTCCGTCTGCTCGGAGGTGCCAAGAAGAGGAAGAAGAAGGTCTACACGACGCCCAAGAAGAACAAGCATAAGAGGAAGAAGGTCAAGCTCGCCGTCCTCAAGTTCTACGAGGTAATTTATTTTGTTGCGAGGGTATGACTGGTGCCGCGGCTGGGATGATTCTCTTTGAAGCATTACCTCGGTAGCCATGTGTTTCGCGAAAACTTCCTCAAACCCTTACTAATTCGGGAAAATTTCACTTTACGGTATGGTCCCAAAATGTCGATTTTTCGACTGGAATCGATCCAGCTCGATGAGTTTGTGCGTTTCCAGTTGAAAAAACGATTGGGAAAGGCTTCTGGACAAAGTTATAAGCTTTTGAAAATCGCTAGTTCACTTTACGGTATGTGAACAAAACCTCAATTTTTGAACAGGAAACGATAAAGCTCGATGAGATAAAGCGTTTTCAGTTGAAAAAACAATTGGGAAATTTAAAATAAGAAAGTTATGACGTTTCAAAGATATTTTTGCTAAGGACTGTAGGCTACGCAACACTCCTATCCCCGCATTCTAGCGCGTGCCCTCTCAGCCAGCGCTTACGTACTTATCTAAAAGCATTTAGAATTTTTAAAACTAGTATTTTAAGCATAGAATAAATAACAGTTAGTTGTGGCCTCCAACATTGTCAGGCAAGGCGGGCCGTCGCTTCGGATGGGCTGCCGCTCCACTCTTCCGAAATCGGGGCGCCTGGGCGCTGCGCGCTCCTCGGGCGCCCCGATTTCGAAACCCTGTACGAGCTCGCACCCATCCGAAACGACTAGGCCCCGGGTGGCACGAAGCCTTATTTTTAAGCTTAAATTGGGTATTCAGCTAGCAATCCCCTTTAAAAAGTCTAATATTTTGGTCAATTTTCAAAAGCTAATAACTTTGTCCAGAAGCGTTTCCCAATCGTTTTTTCAACTGGAAACGCACAAACTCATCGAGCTGGATCGATTCCAGTCGAAAAATCGACATTTTGGGACCATACCGTAAAGTGAAATTTAGCCACTAATTCTTGTTTTCCAGGTCACCGGAGATGGAATCAAGCGTCTACGCAAGGAATGCCAGAACTGCGGCGGTGGCGTCTTCATGGCCGCCCACAACAACCGACACACCTGCGGCCGATGCCACGATACGCTCGTCGTCGAGGAGCAGCCGAAGGGAGGCAAGGGCAAGAAGAAGTAAAGCACTTTTCTGTTTTCATTGTTGATAAATTGTTTTGCTTATATTTTCCTTCAGAGAGGTTAAAAGACACGGAATGAGATTTTTCGCAATTGTGCACGCCATAGTGGCTTTGAAACCTTCCGCGGTTGGTGCCCCAGAAACGATGTAGGTTGGCGCTCGGGTTCTTTTTGAATGGAGGAGGATGGGCTTTCTTCAAAAAGCATTATCCCAAAGCACTTGACCCTGTAAGACGGAAACCTGTAGCGGTTTAGGATCGCGATCACGCAGTAGTAGAGGAACGCGTTTGCTCGCACAGCTCTAACCTATTTCGATGTTCCGAATGCCGGTGGTTTACTTGCTATTTCATCTCATTTCTTTCTGTTACTGCCGTCAGAATAGTTATGGTGATGAGCTGGAAACGCCGGGTAGGCCTTAGGATTGAATTTTTAGCTATAAAAGCGAGCATTTGTCATCGAAGGATTCTGGTAATTTGTGGCGACGAATTTTTTAAATATCTTATAAAGTTGCAGCGCCCCTGAAACGAACAGTGTGCCGGGCAGGCTACTATAAAGTGCTGAATTCGAAGGGCGTTGAGTGGTGCGTTAGAAATCCCACCGAAAACGGTTAGCTTCTTGCCGTTCGTGAAAACTCAGCTTTTAGGACCGCATCTTATAGCCGCAGAAAAGAAGCCGATGAATAAGCGACGAGTGAAGGCGCCGAGTGCAATACGTCGGTTTCAAAACGTTTTTTTACGGGTTTACCGAGCGTCAAGCAGGATTTGGATGGGTTTCCTGCTTTTCCTCGGCGACGGTGCACCAAAATTAAAGCGCGTTCGCTCCAGTTTTTTTTGCTATTTCAGATTGTGGCGTCAAAGAAGTGTACGCTGAATGCGGGAATGCCTGTGAGCCTAGCTGCTTTTATCATGATCCGGTAGGGAAATAGGCTTTCCGCTTTGACGTTTCCGGAGGTACTGAGAGGGAGAGAGACTCGAAAACGTTAGATTAGTCTCATACAGAAAAAGCAAAATGTTTTCCTTGAATTGAGCAACAACGGGAATGATTTCGAAAGTAATAAATTGTACATGCCTTTAAAAACCATCACTTTTGAAGGCTAGCATCGATTTTATAATTCTCACTTGAATTAGCGGTGCCAATGCACTTGGCGGGGGGCAGTCTGTATTTGACTACGAGACACTCCAAATGCCGTTTTTTAAAATCGAAGCTTCTGGAAAAGCCAAGCTAAGCCCAAGCCTATGCTTAGCTTCATATAAACGAAGCCTGAGCTTAGCTTGAGCCCAGCTAAGCTTAGTTAACCCATAAATGACCCCATTTTGGCCTCGACCTCTTACTACCAATTTTGGACTGCCCCGCCTCTAACTGCATTAGCACCGAATTAGCGTTTGACAGCCTTAAAACTCATGAAACTTGGAATAAGCTATACATTTCTCCTCGTTACAGGCCTGCAAGGCGCCGTGTGGTAGGCCGGCTTGCGTTTGTGCCCCTGGACTGAAGCGGGACACGACGCGACAATTGTGTGTTCACTCGTACGAATGCCCGCAAATCGAACCGTCAATGTTCGGGTCGTAAGTCATTTTCGTGAAATCTTTGAAGCATTTAACAAATTTTTCCTAAAGCGAATATTTTCAGCGGCTTCACGGATCCGTGTATCGATGCCGCTTGTCCTCCCGGGAGCCAATGCGTAACGAAGGAGGTATGTAATGTGTTACATTTCTGAGAATGCGGACGATAAAACGAAACGTAATCAAAAATCACTAAAAATAAATTAAACCGCTATAGATCAAACGAATACGAAAAAATTTTAGGTAAACTGCTCGGTACCGCCGTGTCCTCTGACGGCCTTTTGTATCGCCTTCGACCGGAAGCGGCGGGTGAGAAAAACCAGAGCGAAGCATTGAATGAATTTGGAGGATTAAGAAATAAAGCCGAAGAAATGCCAAGATTCTTTTTTACAATTTGTGCAAGGTACCAATCGTGGAGCCAATCCGATCCATACCAGCTCACCGCTAGGACTGGAAATTAATACGATAAAATTTTGCGATTCGAGCTGTCATAACGGTTATTTTAACGTAGCGTTATTTTATTTTAACGGTTATGCGGGTGATTTGAAAAGCCACCAATATAGCACGCGGTTTTGCTCAGAAAGATCGATTAATCATGTTTTTGCAACATCGACCCTTAAAACACCTGAAACATCACATAATGTTTCCGTAACGTCAAAACTAACCGTGAAGAGTTTATTCAAAAATCAATGTCTCCGGTGAGAGTGAAAGGCCAAAAAATAAAACCAAGGTATAAGACCAATATAAACTAGAGTTGTTATCGACCCGGGTCGAAACTCGGGTCGGGCGAAAAGCTTCCCGCAGCAAAAACTTTTGTAAATTCATAACTTTTTTCTAAAGTAGAATTCCGCTACTTCGTCTTCAGTTTTGATTCTGTGAGATCATTTCCTACATTTTGAGTTGTTAAACTATAAGTTTTTGTGCTAGAATCACAGAGAACGGGCAAAAGGGATGGGGGGAAGTGGACCGCCGCACGCAGAACCTGAACAATTTTCCGCTGCGTGAGCCTTTTCGACCCGACCCGAGTTTCGACCCGGGTCGATAACAACTCTAATATAAACGCATTAAAATTTCAAATTTACGGTAACAATCACCAACCAGTAATTTGATAAAAATGGCGGATTCGTAGTGCATCTTTTCTTTTCGCCTCATTTTTGGCCCTTCAGCCACGTCCAAAATTCACTTTTTGCTCTCCTCTTTCCCCCTCAGGGAGGCAAGTGGTTGTCCGTATCGGGTTCCGGAAATGGACGCGGTCCTCAGCGGAGTACCACCCTGAAAGGGGGTAAACCGTTCTTCCCGCTCTCCACTCGCCTCAGACCCAATCATCGGTGGGTGCGAGGTGTCGCAATTTAGTGGGTATAGTGAAATGCATACTATAGAAATGATCCTATGAAGTATGATTTCAAATTTGGGGTGGAGGGGAGGGATGATATGGAGGGGAAGAGGGCTAGGTGGGGGGCGAGTCGGGACGGGGCGGGGAACATTCAGAGAACGCACAGGGGCCGCTTTCCCCTTCGAGAGAGAAGGGGCAACTGACGAAACGTTTCGTCGGGTTGCGGGCCGGTGAAAAATAGCGCTAAAAAGTGAAAATTATTTCTATTAAATGTAGAGAAATATAGTTACATTACTAAAAAATATATAAAGATGAGAACTGTTCAAGGTTACATTCCTTTGCAGGTATCATCAACAGATAAAAAAAAACGAAATTTTAACGTTGAATTTAACTAGTTTAATTTAGATTTATCGTTATATCCGTATAACATGATAGTTTAAAAAATGGCATGAAGATCGAAATTGTGAGTTATTACTATTTCTGTAACCAAAAAAAATTAATAGAGGTGGGCGCAAGATGGTTTTTAAATAGACGTTAATCCGGTTAATAAGTCTGAATTCAGGTATTGTTTATTACGTTTGAAAATCATGTTAACACAATTAAATCTGTATTGAAATATATTTTTTTGTAATGATTTGGCTAGGAAGAAGACATACTTTTAGTATACCTCTTTGAAATTAAACTAAGTCATTTAAGTTAGGCTTTTATAATAGTTTAATTGGTACAAAGATTTCTCTTTCTCTCTCTCACGCTCTCGCTCTCTCTCGCTCTCCCTTCCCCATGAAAGCCCGTCCCCACTGCCCCGCCCCCTTCCCTGTGCGCTCCCCGCATGCTCCCCGCCCCTTTCCCAATCGGCCCCCACCTGGTCCGCTCCCACCAGACAAGTGCCACTCTTCCCCCAGCTCGGCAAGTCTTCAGTACGGGTCGATTCTGATCTGCAACTGAATATGATGAACTCGGGAAATGACCCAAAGTGAGTTACAGCCCACGGTGCCCCGTGGCCGCAACCCACGGGGTGATCCTGTTACTGACACAGTTGGATAACCGTCACTGAAGACTTTATTTGAATTTTGGAACGATCTTCGCATCTTCAAACGATTTGTTTGTTTATCGGACCCGACTTTCGAGCAAAGTCGATACAGAAGCCGTTAAATCTAAATGTTCGAGATTTTACAGCTTTTAAACGCGAAAAGTAGAAAATTAAAGAATCACGACTCGAACCAAATGCGATTGATATACTGATAATTCACCTCCAAATAACTAAAACATATTAACCGTTGCCGGACTCGTACTGCAAAATCTTGGAAAGCGTGAATGCAATCGTAACACCATTTAGAAATTAACCCACTTCAAATCAAGTTTAATTGATTTTATAACACCAAATTCCGCGTCGCAAGCTAGTGTACTGGAATGAAAGCAAAATCTTTTGATGATCCGAAGATCGTTCTAAAATTCAATTAGTCTTCAGTGCCGATTATGCAACTGTTTCAGTAACAGGATCACCCCGTGGGTTGCGGCCACGGGGCACCGTGGGCTGTAACTCACTTTGGGTCATTTCCCGAGTTCATCATATTCAGTTGCAGATCAGAATCGACCCGTACTGAAGACTTGCTGCGTTGAGGGGCGGTAGCGGTTGTCTGGCTGTAGTGGGCCAGGTGGGTGGCGTTTGGGAAAGTTCTAACAGTGGACCTTTAAAAAAACCATTTAAAATCTTACTTTAAAATTTTAGGCCAGCAGAAATGTACCGATGTAGGGTAATTTTCAGGACTAAAGGATGGAAATGATTTATACGGTATAATAATGTGCAAAGAATCCCTTGTCATTATTGCTTTCGTCCGAGGTGAAGCGAAGGGTCAACGAATTGCCGGACGACAGGAACGACGTCCCATTCGCGACAGCGCCTCGCAAGCTGAATGAGGTTTATAAAGTTCAAAATTTTAAAAAATAAAAAAATGAGGTGGGCTAATTTTTAATTAGTGTTACGGTTACATCGTATACACGCTTTCCAAAATTTGGCAGTGCGGTTCCGGTGAATATATGAAAGTTCGGTAACGATGTTTCATTTTTTTAGGAATGCCAAAGGTTTGCCGGAAAACTAATTTCATTTTCTTTCCTTTCTTTGACTTTCCACTTCCCATTTAAAAACGATCTAAATACCATTTTAAATCTTAAAACTTCCACTTCAAAATGAAACCTGGCCAATTTGGGGCTCTGCACATTTGGCCCATCGTGAATGTACAGCCAATCACAGCACTTTTCCGTTTGGAAAAAGTCGAGCGTCAGGTTCAGCCGGTAATTGCCCTGTGCCTAAAAAAATTGGGAAAAAATTTCCTAAAGAATCGTTGCTAGATTGCCCAGGATAAATACTAAAATTCTTTTTTTAATTAACAAAATTCTCACCTGAACCTGATAGTAGCAGTCGGCATTGTCGGGATAGTTGCTGGGCCAGCTGAAAAGAAATTAGGTTCTTTTGCACTATCGGGGGTGGGGCTAATCTTTCGTATAAATCCAGAAATGCCTATTCATTGATTTAACACGGGTTATCGAAAAATCCAACCAAACTAGACTAGAAAAAATAGCTGAAAAACACAGCAAATTTTGAAATATTGGTCGAAAAAGCGTTATTTTTGTTTTTTTGAAAGTCCAAATCATGCACAGTTGTTTACGTTTAGGCATACGCAATAATTCGAAACAATTTCCCTTTTTTTACATTAGATATTTAACAGTTTTTTTATAGTGAAGTTTAACTATGTTTCAATTTGGAAAACTATCAAAAACCCAAAGATTTTAATAGAATCTGTTTCAAAAATAAAAGACTAGGCGTTATTAAATACGGATAAATCCTATCCTATATATAAAAAAATAGTGTTTGTGTGTGTGTGTGTGTGCAGTTGCATGCAACTTCCGTCACCGTGTTCCAGCAGTATCTCAAGTAGGGAGAAAGTTAGGGGTATGTTTGATACGTCATTAGGTGCGCAATGGCCTGGAGATGACTGCACGCAAATGAGATTTATAAAAATCTTCTATTTTCTACATTAAAATTCAGTTTTTCATGAAAAATCCGACACCCCTCTTTGTTAGGATCAAATTAGCATGCGCCGGAAGTCGGGGTAGTCTATATAATGGAACAGAGGGAGCATTTTTCATTTTTCGTCGTCCGAATGTGGGAAAATTATGCATAGCCAAGAATATCCCGGGAGTAGACGGGGCCAGGGTTGAAAAGTCGCGAAGCGGCTTTTCAACCCTGGTAGATATTAAAATTCATGCGCACTTTGATTGATACTATATTAACCCACTATCAGGACAGCTTGCCTCTAATTATTTCGAAACCTTTTTTTTTAAGTTTCTAAAATTATTACCCAGGTGAATTCAGAGAGCCACTCGGATCGGTGTACTTTCCGGCCGGGCAATCTTTCGTATCTTCTGTGGGTAATGGAACGGCATCTAAATACAATGGTTAAACCTCTATTTAATACAGGCAGTAAAACAGTAAATTATTAATTAATTTAGCACACATCAAAAGTATCGAAACATACTTTCAATAATACAAATCGACGGCATCATTTGTTTGCAATCCTCATTTTTCCACCCTCCGTAGATGGCGTTTATCATGTGGATGGCCAGGCAGTCTGATCCGACTTCTGGAAACAGTATTTAATTTATAAAGCTGTTAATTCGGATGTGTTTTGGTACGAAAAATTGGTACTTTGGCAATATCGAGGGGGTTTCTTATTATTCAGATTTTCTAGCTCAAATACCATAAAGGAGTGTTTCTATGTAGACTATTTTTTACTATTTCGAAAAGTAAACGCTTACAAGCACAAAAAATCAAAAAATCTCCATTTTCTACCTAAATTTAAATTTTTGTGATTGTTTACACCTGTAATATAAGTAGATTTTATCAAAACTATTAAAATACTTAAAATTAAATTTAAAATTAATTTTCGTGGTATTTCTGGACCTATAAAAATAACCAACGCTAAGCAAATACATAGTCGAA